CCTCTCCGGCTGCGACCTCTCCATGCGTGCATGCGGGCGGGCGCGCAGCATGTCTCCGTACCTTAGGCTTTTTTTCAGCTCCTCTGATTTTCTTTCTGGTTTTCTCTTTCCTTCTTGTTGTAGAAATTTCAGTCAGTCGACTACCTGTAGCTCTGGGCAATGTCCACTCTACATTTTAGTTGTATTCCATTGAAATTGTTGTGTGCTGCCGCGGCTAGATGTCTACCCGAGCAGCCATCTTGGATCCTCTCACATTACACTTATTGTTTTAGCTGTTGCAGTTGTTTGCATGGGAACTAATTTGAAGATTTGGATAAGACTGCATTTATTTGAGTTTAAGTAACAAACACCAGGAGTTGCACTTAGGTGGGCCTGGGTCACTACAGTGTGGGATGAGCTTTGGCTGATCGCCTTGCTTTGTAGTAGTCAATTTTGATGGCAGGGTCTCAGAACTTATAATTGTGGAACAAAGCATCTTAGTTTCCACTTTATTTTCACTACAAAGGAAATGAGCAGACAGGTGATTTAAACTCTTAATCTGAGTAAGACTCAATTTCCCTGTGACTCATGTGATATTTTCGGGGAGACAGTAAAGAAACTACTTTTTTAATAGATGTCTGATCTGATCTGACCATTCCTGCCTCTGGATGAAGTACCCTCACTGCTATAGATGGCCCAGCCATTGCTGGAGAGGAATGACCCAGATGGTAGCAGTTCTCAAGCATCAGACACGCTGGGCATCCCTTGAACAGATGCACGTGGCTGTCCTACACGATGATTAGAATATAGATCTAATGTTCTTTGAATGTATTGCTTCAAATTAGAACCGCAAGGCCAGTATTGAGGTTTCTCCTCCACTCCCTACCTCTCAGCATAGGCTGCAGTGCCTCTTGGGTGACCTTCCATTAACAGCCTATGGGAAGACAGTAGCATCTCTGAGTGATTTGGGTCCATCATTTAGGCAAACGTAAGTGGAAGAGGACTTGAAGAATGATAGCAATCAGCTACTTGAGTATTTTCCTACAGTTAACTAAGGACTATATTAAATATTTCATATGTATTATGGCCTTTAATTCTGTTTTGATCCACATCCTACAAATAAGGATTCTGAGGCTTTTTTTTCTTGTTATTGAGTTTATTAGGGTGACACTGGTTAACAAAATTATACAGGTTTTAGGTACATAATTCTACAACATGTTAATGTAAAAACATTCAAACCTGTAAGAATTTTTGTGAGTTTATTTTAGCCAAACTGTCGACAATTGCCAGGAAGCAGTATCTCAATGGATTGGGATAATACTTCAGAGCAGTATCCCAAACTTCTCTCATGAGAATCACCTGGTGGAGTTGTTAAACTACAGATTCCCAAATTCCAACTAAGAAGTGCTAAACTAGAATTTTTGAGAACATATAGGTAAAACTGAAAAATTATATACTTAAAATTTTACTTATATGTTCCCAAAAACTCTAGTTTAGCACTTTTTTAAAAAAAATATATTTTATTGATTTTTCACAGAGAGGAAGAGAGAGGGACAGAGAGCCAGAAGCAGAGAATTATCGATCAGCTGCCTTCTGCACATCCTTCACCTGGGATGTGCCCGCAACCAAGGCACATGCCCCTGACCGGAATCGAATCTGGCACCTTCCAGTCCACAGGCCAATGCTCTATCCACTGAGCCAAACCGGTTTTGGCAGTTTAGCACTTCTTAGTTGGGATTTAGAAATCTGTATTTTAACAACACCAGGTGATTCTCATCATGAGAGAAGTTTGGGAAACACTGCTCCAGAGAATGATGGTCTTTCATCTATTTTTAAAAAATTTCAATCAAAGAAGGAGACAGGTAGGTTACATGAAATCTATTGTTGATAGACAAGAGGTAGGAGAAAGCAAAGTGGGGAAACCTCAAAGTGGGTAAAAAGCAAAGTGATAGACACATACTTAAGTGGATGCAGGATAGTTAACAAAGGAACTTGTGGTATCTGTCCTGGCATCCAGACACATTAAGTTGTGCCCCAAAGGGCCCAGAAAAAGGGAAGTTACAAGTTACCCAGATGTTTCAAGAATGTGTTATCATAGATGCAAAAAGATATGCTTAGTAAAGGTAAAGGTTGACCTAGTCAATGAAGATACCGGCCTAGGAGGTGACTACCCCCCAATTGCTTTTAGTTAAAGTTTAATTTCAGACCATCCTTTGTGGTTACTTAGGTCTTTGATTTTGCTAGACTGCCACGCAGGCCTTCCCTGAACTTGGCAGGTTAGCATGTGGCCCCATTTGTCAACAAACACATAATCTATACACTTATTTTGTGTTTGCCACTCCAAAGTGGTAAAAGTCTGTCCATCACCATTTATACCCCTTTACCTTTCTCTACCTTTCCTAACTCCCTCTGCCCTTTGCAAACACTACACTGCTGTCTGCGTCTGAGTTGTGTTTTTTCTTTCTTTTTTTTTTTGTTTTGTGAAATTCTCTGTCCACGAGTCAAGTCACGCCCAAGACCAGTGCAGAGCTGGGTTCCCTCCATACTGCATTTTACCCTGGAATATATATATTTCAGACAGGAAAGGAGAAAGAGAGAGAAACATCAATGATGATAGAGAATCATTGATTGGCTGCCTCCTGCATGACCCCTATTGGGGATCGAGCCCACAACCCAGGTATGTACCTTTGACCGGAATTGAACCTGGGACCTTTCAGTCCATAGGGAAATGCTTTATCCACTGAGCCAAACCAGCTAGGGCTATCCTGGATGTTCTTCCATAGCCGCATAGACTTTTATATTTGTTTCCATTATATTCTGGGTATGGTGCATTATTTTTAGCTATTATCTTAGTAATTATGGGAGATTTTGTTTAACTCCCATTTTATTGATGAAGCAATTTCATTTTGGGGGTAATGTTTCTGAAATCAAGTCTAGGTCAGTCTGACTCCTAGTCCTGGCAGGAGAGTGTGGTAAGTGTTAGAACCACTGGACCTAGAGCTAGACAGCTTGGATTGTATCCTGGATTCATCTACCCTATTTCCCCGAAAATAAGACAGTGTCTTATATTAATTTTTTCTCCCAAAGTTGTGCTAGGTCTTATTTTCAGGGAATGTCTTATCTTTCCATGCACTAGGTCTTATTTTCGGAGGATGTCTTATTTTTGGGGAAACACGGTAGAACCCACACTGGAATTTTGGGAGAGTTGCTTAATCCCACTGTGCCTTGATTTCCTCATCTGTGAAGTGTTGGTAATGAATCCCTTCCTCGGACGCTGTTGTGAGGATTAAATGAACTGGTACTTGCAAAGTACTCAGCACAGGGTCCAACTTAGTAATGGGTGCTTCGTAAACATACACTATATTCACCATGCTTCTCTAACCCACCTTATTTTCAGAGTATGCAAGAGAAACAGTCACGCATGGCAAGTCCATGTGTCATGCTTTCTTTGACCTTCAAATGATGAACACCAGCTCTATGCAAGAGGCTGTGCTAGGAAGAAAGCCAAAAATATCACTTGCTTTCTTGTATGGAGTGTCCTGTCTTGGGCATTCTGCATACATTATCTTATCTAATCCTATAGCAGAACAGTTCCTTGTGCTACACATGGAGAAACTGAAGCCTTGGGAAGTCAAGTGACTTATTCAAGGCCAGTCCTCTTGTTTAATTTAGTAGTAGAGCAGGGACCAGATGGCTGGTCTTGTGCTGTTTCGCCAGCATCGCACTGACTCCTGAATAATAATGGCTGCCATTTAGTAGACTGAAATTCTCTGCAAGAGATCAACAAGTGTAACATGAAAAAGACATGGTGCTAGAATAAGTTTGCCTTAACCGCACAATCTCTCAAGACTTTAATACACTAGTGCCCCATAAACATCATGGGGTACTAGCGTATTAAAGTCTTGAGAGAGAGGTGGCATTTCTGAGACCTTCCTGGAGATATCTCAAGGGACAGGACCCTAGGAAGCACATTTGGGAAATGACTTCCAGTTCAATGTGTTAAGAGCACCCTTCTTAGTTTTAAAGATCAGAGGGAAGGGAGAGGTATAGGGACTGATCTGATTAGAGGCTTTAAGGGGAAACAGGATCTGCAGAGGCCTAGGCCAGGGCATTTGCTAAGAAAAAGGCTGCGAGCAAGATGTATGTTGGTTTACAGGAGAGAGACAAAGATCAGAGAATTGGGAATTGTATGTACTTTTTGTGTTTGTCAGCTACTCTAATTGCTTTATTTGATTCACTACTTAAATTCCCACAAAACCTGAGCAGGGCTAGTAGCCTTAACCCTTGTTAAAAATCCTTGTTACCATCCTTGTTGAAACTAAGGGAGCTTAAGTAACTTGTTGAACACACCATGGCTAGGGGGTGAATTCCAGCTCGGTCCATCTGCGAGCTCTAAACACGGCAGCAGACACCATGTCTTATTCATAAAACATCCCGCACCCGCTCCCCTTTCTCATAGTTGGCACATGAGTATGAAATAGACACATGAGTGAGGTTTCAGTAAGGAATGCAGGTCTGAAAATTCCATCACAGAGAGAGTCTAGACTCATCCCTATGTCTCATCAGCCACGGCCAGGCTGTGTCAATCCTGCCTCCACTGCAGACTTAGAGTGCTTCTCTCCCCATTCTGCCTTCCATCTCTCATTGAAGCTAAACACATCCTGATCTGTTGGACCCTCCAAGTTCCCACCATGGTCTCTCCCACCCCAAACTGTCTTGCATACAGCTTTCATCTCTTTAAGTCCTTATTCATGTGAGGACATCAAGGAAGAGGGGGTTGAATAACTTGCCTAATGTTACTAGGAGTGAGGGGGAGCTAGCAGTAACTCAGAGTCTGAGATGAATTCTGCTGGGCCTATAAGTTCCATGAGGGCAGGCATTCTGTCTTAGTCATTCCTGTTTCAGCAAGACCAAACACAATGCCAGGTGCAGCAAATGCTTAGTAAGAGTCTGAGACAGGATCTTCCTCCTGCTTCGGGCCTTGTTTTTGTTAGTATCCTGACATGATCCTCTCTCCTCAGCACTGCACCCCAGGTATTGAATACTGACTTTCCAGCCCAGCAAGCAGAAAATGAAGCCAAAGCCAGCTCTTCTGTCTCAATCGACGAGTCACAACCTACCACAAACATCCAAATACGGCTTGCTGATGGCGGGAGGCTGGTGCAGAAATTTAATCACAGCCACAGGTACCTTATGTTGTCTGGCCGACCTTATTTTAGGAGGGTCCCAAAGATTCCCACAAAAGGGGGAAGCAGAGGACTGTTTTTTCTTCTAACCTCAGCAGGCACTCCATGCCTTTCGAAAAGGAGGCAGTGGAATGGAAAGCATGCAAGTCTGAAGCCGTTGGCCCCTACTTCCATTAAATGAGGCCAGTGACTGCTTTCTTGGCCTACTGTGGTTCTAATTCCTTTCCTGTAAAATTAGGGGATTGGATTCCTTAGGGATTTTTCAGCCATCACACTCTTTATTCAAAGGAAATCTCATGCTAAATCCCAAATATAGAACACATAAAATTTGAACAGCTGTGCTTAATAGAAAGGAGAGGAGACACAGGACCAACATCCCACCCATGGCTTTCTCCACCTTATTCCCACAAGGGGTCTCTGAAAATGACCAGGCTGTTAAGATCTCTTCCAGATCTGGCATTTGAGAATTCCAGAACATCTGCTTTACTATCTCAGATCATCTGGCCTGGATCAAAGCAAACTGCCTCCCTCCATTAAGACTCAGAGTGATGAAGTGATTAGCAGGGGAAGATAGAGTAAAAGTTATTTCACAACTCCTTTTTCTAGACTAGCAGTGTCTAAATGTCATCAATCATAGGCCAGGTGAACCAGAACCCACATGTGAGACTCAATGAATGGCTTGACAATCCTTGAGTGTTGACAAGGCTCACATGTCGGGTAAGCTGTGAAACAGGCCCCAGGAGCACATGGAATCTTTGTTCAAACATTTCTGTTCAGTAGGAACTATTCACTGCACTGTCAGGTGCTTTGTGTTTAAGGGAATTAATTCATGTCACTTGTCTGAGTTCTTGGCCTCAATTTCATGTCACTCAATAACTCCAGCTTTTCAGCCTGAGTGTTGCTCACTCCCCCGGGTGGACAGCCCATCCCAAGAGTTTACCAGCTGGTGGGTAAGAGGATTCTGCTGGAGGTCTCAGACTATGTCATGGATATCTACGCCCTTAGATGTGCCAGATTGTGAATTGCATAAATTTTAAGTGTTGGAGGTAGAAAGAAGTTTCTGTTTAAGCACTCTAGGGAAGAAGGCTGGCTCTTTCAGATCACTCTCCTCACGGTTGGTGACCATGGTGGTTCAGGACACAAGCAGTATCTAGAGTAGGGATTCCTGGCACTCAAGGGTTACTGACCTTCAGTGATTCTTCTCACTAATCGTTTTAGTAATTTTCTAAGAGACGTAGTATTTGCTGCCCTTATGGAATTCATGGTCTACAGGGGGAGACAGACCTTAATCCTATCCCAAATTTTTTTATTACAAACTTGATCAGTACTGTGGAAGCAAGATCAGGGGATGGAGCTTGGGGAGAAGGCTGTTCAAGGAGGCAGCATTTGAGCTGAGGCCTAAGGTTTGTTTAGGATTACAGGGGAAAAAATCAGGCAGAGGAGCTTCTAGAAAGAGGGACCCAAATGTAGGCAGGGAGCATAGCATGATAAGGAACTGAAAGGAGAAGGGTGGTGTAAAATAGGTCAGGCCTTGGGACCACAGTAAGGAGATGGGCATTTCTCCCTAAAGGGTTTTAGGCAAGGGAGTGACCTGCTCAGATGGGCTTCCAAAGGAGAGCTTTGGCCACTCTAGAAGATGGGGCCTCGGGAGGGGGCTTGGGGATGTGGTGCATCCTTCTGAAGGGTGGGGTTTGTGGGCAGCAGAGAAGGGCACTGCTCACCCACTTCCCACTCACTCCTGCTCCACCAGGATCAGTGACATCCGACTCTTCATTGTGGACGCCCGGCCGGCCATGGCCGCCACCAGCTTTGTCCTCATGACTACTTTCCCGAACACAGAGCTGGCTGATGAGAACCAGACCCTTAAGGAAGCCAACCTGCTCAACGCCGTCATCGTGCAGCGATTAACATAACCACTTGGCCCTGCCAGGTGGCCTCACCTTCCTCCTGTGTTTCCCATGGCCAGCTGCCCCGTGGAGACTGCCCCTTCCGCCCCCTCTTGGACACCCAGCCGTCCAGTGCCGTCTCCTCCGTAGCTCTGGGTTCTTAGATCTCCGTTGGACATTTGTTTTCTCCTTAGTTGCATTTCCTGGGTTTTTGTGACGATCAATGGACTTTAAAGAAAAAAGATAATAAAAACAACTAAAAAAATTGAAGGAATATTGCCAGCATGTTATAGGGAACCTTTCCCACTGAAATGGGCTTTGATTGCTTTAAAATAGCTTCTCTCCAGGGCATGTGAGAGGAACCTCTCCTTTCTGCATAAAAATTGCTTGTGGCCCACAGTACCCATCTACTTGTGTGTCCACCTGCCTCTCCCACGATGACTAGTGGAGGACTTCCCCCTTTATAAGGAAGGAAGTGGGGGACTTGTAGAAAGAGGATTTGCAGCCACTTACTCCCATAAGAACAAATCTCTTGCCCAGATAAAACCAGGCAGCAGCAAAATTCCCCAGATCTAGAGATACATGACTCCTTCAGATGAAAATAAATATTCCCTGTGCTCCTTTCACTCAACCTGGGAAGTTCGAACCAGTTGAGATTCTAATTTCACCTGTCTGCCCCGGGCCTTTCCTCCCTCATCATCTGGGCCATTGTCACCCTGGTGATTCTCAGCTGCTCTGCCATTGCTTTACTCCACGTGCAGAAGTGTGTACCTAGGGAATAGATGGGATATCTTCTCATTGGGAAACAGTTCATGCCAACCTGAGTTCAGAGTCAAGGTATCTTAGTGAGAAATAATCAAAAGATTACTGAGCACCCTAGCCAGTGTATCTCAGCGGTTAGAATGTTGGCCTGCCCATCGAAGGGTCTCGGGTTCAATTCCTGGTTAAGGGTGTGTACCTGGGTTGCAGATTTGATCCCCTGCCCTGTCAGGGTATATGCAAGAGGCAGTCAATGTTTCTGTCTCTTTCCCTTCCTCCTTTCCATTCTCTGGAAAAAGAAATAGGAAAAATGTCCTCTGGTAATATTTCTCACATCATTATCGAATAGCTAGGCAAGATATCTATATAGATATCTATAATGATATGTGTGGCAAGTCAAATGTTGAAAGGGGAGGGGAGGCCTATGCTGAGTAAATTTTAAGAGTAAGGGTATTGTCAGTGCCTGGCTTTGGTGTGCAGGTTCCACCTCACAGTTCTCTGCCCCACTGAGTTCAGACTTACAGCAACTTAGGCAGTCTGATAAAGAACTCCCCCATAAGTAAGTGGTTTTTTTTTCTGTGCAAGTTTGGGAAAGGCGCATCATTGGGGTCTTGAAAGCCGTTCCACCTCCCAATCAAGTGAACCACAGTTAGAATCAACACTGACTCAGAATCTCCTGGTTTTAAATCAATATGCCTCAATCCTCTTCCAATCACTCATCACCAATCCTGCTTCACACTCTGCAGCAAGCCAAGAACCAACACTTTACATGTGGAGCTGGGGAATGGCTCGGATTTCCCCAAGACCCATCCTGAGGAAGGGACACACAGCTTGGTGCTTCTGATCCCAAATTGGCACGGGCCTGCCAGAGCTGCAGCATTTTCCAGGGTCCTCCAGCAGGTGGTAGCAACTGTGGAAACAATGCAGGTCTGGAAAAGCTTTGTAACTTATTGTTACCTTGACCATGCTACCCAAGTACATGCCCTTGACCGGGAATTGAACCAGAATGAGGACAATGGAGTTTGATACTTTATAATGGGTTTCTTTGAAGAAATGTAATAGCAACCATTGTAAGTACATCTGTGCCACCAGCATCCCATTTATAGTGCAAAACCTATAGCCCAGCTGGTAAGTGGTAAGGTTTGTTTGCTTCCAAACATGCTCTAAATCTTGATGCTCTACATACATACACGCTGTCCCCAACTCGGGTCCTGTATACATACTCTCAACCCCCTCCTACCCTACTTCAGAGTTGTTTTTTTTCCCCAAAGATTTTTTTTATTGAGTTTTTTTGTTGTTGTTTTAAGAGAGGAAGGAAAGGAGAGGGAGAAAGTAAAACACCAATCAGCTGTCTCTGACATGCCCCCTCTGGGGATAAAGCTTGCAACCTGGGTATGTACCCTGATGGAATCAAACCTGCAACCTTTTGGTGCACTGGACAACTAACTGAGCTATACTGCCAGGGCATGCTTTTTAAAAAAATTTTTATTAACATCAGAATTTCTGCTTAAGTTTCATTAGTACATACCAGAAGAGATCACAAAAACACCCCTTACAACCTGCATCATCTAGAAAAGCACAAAGGCCTTAGGGATTCCCAGCCTGGGGAAGGGATCTGATGCAGCTGTCAGAGTTCTGACCATCCAAGGTTAGAGAACTTGGTCCAGAGGGAAAAGTTCATCCACCCACGGTGGGGTTTTTTTGTTTTTGTTTTGTTTTGTTTTGTTTTGTTTTGTGTGTGTGTGTGTGTGTGTGTGTGTGTGTGTGTGTGTTTTAATATAGGATACTTATCAACTGGTTCTGGGGCTTCTGAATGGAGGGCATTCATTCTCAACTGAGGCATTTTGTTAATTGGTAGGGACATTTTGGGTCATCCCAAAATTTGGTTGGCAAATAAGAAACCTCCTGGAGTTAAATAGACCAGGCCAAGAATATATTGCAATGCATGGGACATGTCCTGATGGAATGACATCCACAGAGAAAAGGCAAATTGTTATGAGGATGCCCTTCCTAACAAATTCAGCTTAAACTGCTCTCTACTGTGGGGCATACATGGTGTTTCTGTTTGGTCTTGTAAACCACACCATGCCCAACAACCTTGTAGGTACAGTTTGGGGCACATCTGGTCGCTTCGTCAGAAGCAGGCATGTGTGGCAAGAGCTGAGCATGTCTTTATGGCTTTGGACAGCATTGCCAAAGTGTCTTCCAAAGCGGCAATGCCCTTTTGTGTACCCACCAGCGCTGCAAAATATGCTGGTCAACTTCTTCAAGCTGACTGAGCTCATTCCATGGAAGCAACTGGCGCAGAAGGTTGTGTTCTCTGCTGCCCTCTAGCCCAACCTCTAGGATTTCCAGAGGAACTGTCTGGATTTCTCATGGCCAAAGCCATATTTTTTCTTTAAAATGGATTCTCCCCTCCCTTCCCCCTCCCACACCCCTCTCACACACTTTCTTCCAGGTCCATTTTCCTCAGGCCAGGACAGGGAAGCACATGGTTGACTTCTAGTGGACAATCTGGCCCCAGTTGAGCAAGCTTCTGTGCTGTTTGGCTATATTTCTTCTCACCCCACATCCAGCTCATGAGAAGTTCTCAAGGTTCTGCTGCAAATGCATCCTAAATCCAGCCACTCACCCTTCCTACCCTGCAATCTCCTGTGTCCAGCCTCCATCATCTCACATGGACAACTGCAGTGACCTGGCCCACTACTAGCTATCCATTTGCCCTGCTTTATTTTCCTTATTCTGTCTCCATGTGATGCATTATATACTCTCTGTGTTTGTTTCCTGTGTCTCTCCACTGGGTTATAAGCTCCATGACTCTAAGCACTTGGCACAGTACCTGATACATCTTAGATCTTCAACCAATGACTGGTTGTATGAACTTGTGAAATGGAGATTAGACTTCCCTATCTAAAGGGTGAAGGTGATGATGCTTCAGGTGTCGCTTGAAGTAGTGCTTAGGTAACTGCAGTTCTTACCTCTCTCCCGAAATAGGTTCTCATCCAGCCACAGGGGGGCATCGTTCTAAAGGGCACCTGTAGCTGCTGGTAAAGGCATCCAGGTTCTCCCAGCAAAGACACTAAGAAGGTGGAACTAAAATAGATATGGCCCTAGCCGATTTGGCTCAAGGGATAGAGCATCAGCCTGCACACCAAAGGGTCCCAGGTTTGATTCCATCCAAGGCACATACCTTGGTTGCGGTTTCTCCCCAGCCCAAACTCACTGGGCCCTTGCAATCAATGTGTTTCTCTCACATCGATGTTTCTGTCTTTCCCCTCTCTCTTCCACTCTCCCTAAAAATCAGTGGGAACATGACCCCACTCATTTGTGGTTAATAAAGATCATTATAAACTGATGAACCAAAAGATAGATATAGAGACAGTAAAGCAACAAGCAGATTGTCAAATTACAGCGGGGAGGGGAGGAGGGTCTGGGGGAGATAATAAGTCAACCCAAGGACTTGTATACATGCATATAAGTACAACCAATGAACATAAAACTCTGGGGAGGGAGGGGATATGTGTGAGGGAGGGAGGGGGGCAAAAAAATCAATAAAATATGAATGAATAAATAAAAAAATAAAATAAATAAAAATAAATTTAAAAAAAAGATCTGGGGATAGGCTAGGTTGATGGTTCACAACAATATGAATGTACTCAATGTTGAACTGCACGCTCAAAAATAGTTAAAATGATACATTTTATATGTATATTTTACAGCAATAAAAATACTTTATAAATTTAATGTTACAAGGGAAAAAAAAATCAGTGGGAAAATATCCACGGTTGAGGATTAACAACAATAAAAACCCACAAAAGGGCAGATATGAATGTGGAATTGGAGATCAAGATGTGCAGGGGTGCCTTGGCACCTTCCCCACCCTGACAGGATTGGACTCAGAAGTTTAAGGGCCAATCACCCTCCATCTAGAGCACCTGAGACCCTCAATGCCAGGACCAGATCTTCAGCCACAACCAATGATAACAGCAGCTGCCGTTATCTGAGCACAATTTTGTGCTAGGCCCTGTATGCACCTTGCCTTGTGTAGTTTGACAACAACCCAAAGGTACCATGGCTAGCTTATTATGGGGGAAGACACAGACTCAGTGTGGTGAGGTCACACACCATGTAAAAGGCACAGCCATGATTTGAACCCCAACTGCCTGATCCCTTGGCTTTAGGAGGACTTAGATCAAGAGCTAAGTTATGGTAACCTCTGCCAGGTGGTTTCAATGAGGGCCATAGGAGTATACCATAATCAAAGGGCT